TTTTCTTCTGAAAGCGCTCTCAAAGATTGTTTGAATCACAAGCCAAACTCGACTGGAGAATATTCCCCCGGGATGGAAATTAGTAGCAAAAAGTCAACAATGATAGACGCAATTCAATACTTGAGAAGAAATATATATTTTAGAGTATGTATGTAAATTGAAGGGTAGTACATTCTTGACATTTTTACGATATGGGTTGTGTGTCCCAACAACCGCTTTGGGTCACACTTTTCCCTAGAGGATTGAAAGATTTTATAGTGCTTAAATGATAAATAATAATAATAATAATTTCTCTATGAAATTAATTGGCAGTGCGGCACGGTATGCAAACTTAACACTTTCATCATGCAAAATAGTGTTTTTAGGTCTGTGGTCTCGACTGAACAATAACTATATTGTAATAATGTGCCTAATGCCGAAACTGAACACTCCCTTTGTAGTTACTAATATTAGCAATTTAAATCCGGTTAAAGCCATAAGTAGCCAGCATAATACAAAAACAATATATTTAACTTTACCGTCAAATTGCATCTGAAAGATAACGAAAAGACCCGAAAACAAACTCGCCCACAGGTTTCTTTTCGCATACTACGCAATCCAGTGACAAAATAACATAACCTGTACATGTAGAATCAAATGCAGATATTGTGGAAGTATAAAAGTCAGTCAGATCATTATCTTTGTTGACTGCTGTATAAACACGACTAATGGAAAACTCAAATCGTACATGCTCTCCCACAAATTGAAATCAGTGTATTTATTTTAACCTTTTCTTATTCAAACCATTTGTTTTATTTCTTTATATAAACACTGTCCAAAACAATTCTCTGCGTAAAACTACACTACACATCGTACTTACATTGCATAATTGCATGTTACAAAGCGGTCCATACAACTGTAATATATCAGTAAATAATATTACATTACACTGTTCATATTCTCCTTTTTTTCTCCGCTATCCATCGAACGTCTTCAAATTAAACCCAGCGTCAGTAGATTATTGAATTTCCGGACATTTTTTCTTCTAATGTTATCACCGGCCACAGAACGAAGACACAGCAGGCATGCGGCTTGGTTTCAGTTTAACACTGGGCAGGTTCGTCATTTCTCCTCAAGCTGTTCCTATAGATACTCTCCCGATACTTTCCCCGAACCCAAGAGTTCATTTCTTTTTTGAGCGTTAAAATAAAATAGCTGACAGATGTGATTTCGGTTAATCAAATGGAGCCCCAGATTCGGTCTGGCATGCAAAAAGTTTTCAAAGAAAGAAACACCACCATCGATGATGCGCGCTCTACTAGTACTTTGATCGACTAGACCAAGAAGGCTGGTCCAACATTTATCGTTTCACTGATTTTAACAAGCCGGGTAGTTGCTCTTCGTCTCTTTATTTGTCAAATACATGAGCGGTAAAACGGGCGGGCAAAGGAAACTAGAAAGGGAGCAAAAGTGTCAACGGTTATACTTTTGAAAATGTATGTTGACTAGCATACGAAATTTAACGTTAAGCCCATAAAATGAATGTTTTTAAAATGTTTATTACCGCTGTTTGCTTTATATTTTTTGATCGCAAAAGTCTTTATCGCGGTTGATCCAAATAATGGACGATCTGTTCAGTGGGGAAAGTCCACTTTTATTGTGCTGTTGAAAATTGTAGTAGCGGCTACTATGATTCCGAAAGGAGTCGGGAGTGTGAGCCATCGTGGGTCAACGATTCTTCACGCACACGGGCATCATATACATCGTGTTACCCATTCCCGTCACCAGATCCCTGTCACTCTTAGCCGGCGGGGCCTTGACACGAGGAAAAGGTGAGTTTGGAGGCATGATTTGATTGGCTAGATTCTTACACTGAGTAATTTAACGTTCGTTTCCTTCCTCAAAATATGATGTATCCACTGGTTGATCTCTATAACTAACTTAAACAGTATGATTAACAGATGCTTGATTTATTACATTTACTCCATACTTACAAAAATTAAAAAGTAATAGTTATTGAGATTATACGAACAGGAGAAGGAGGTGACAAAAGGCACCACAGAGCCATACTAGGGAAATCCCCATGAATTAAATGTTAAACTATATATACGTATGTACAATACGTTAAAAAACCAAACCTCTATATAAACCAAAAAAAAAAAAACTTATTACTCGAAGAAGACTTCTAAACTTTTTTTTTTAAAAAAGAAAAAATATATATATAGATATTTCATCAGCGTCTCTAACTTGACTTGGCAGTCTATTCCATATTCATAGATGATTCGATTAAAAAGCTATTTTCAAAACTATCAGGTCTACAGAGGTCTTGAGAAACCTCGTTTCTTAAATTGTAGCGAAGCAAATTTAAAACAGACTCAAGATTCTTACCACAAATGCCATTGATATGTTCGTTATTGAAAATTCTCCCCGTAAACAAGTTTTAACGTTCCTGAAGATCAGTTTGTAGGTCCTGAAATCGAACAGTTTTAGTCAAAGATCGACAGAGCCATTATTTTCTCGCACAAAGCCGAGAAAAAAAAAGATCAACAGAGCCATCTTTTTCTCCCGCAAAGGCCCCGCGGCTAAGAGGGACAAGGGGCTCTGGGGACGAGAATGAATTCAACCGGCAGTCCGACACCAACCATTTGGTCCCGAGAGGGTTCTACATTATCCTTGCGACAGCCAGTAAAAAGCTTTTACTGTATCAAACACAAGGCAATCAGATATCAAAAAAAAAAAAAAGAAAAACAAACAAAACAAAAAACAAAACAAAAAAAAAAA